AGTACAGAAGGTGGGAGCCCAGGAAGGCACACAGCCACTGAACAGGAGAGACCTCTGCCAGAAACAGGGTCGGGGGTACTGAGCTCGGTACAAATGGCAAAGGACACTGCTCTACAGTCTCAGGTCACCGCCGTCCCGTTGTCCCTGGGGACAAGGGTACTCTGGCTGGGCGGCATGGGACTCCCACCATGGGGCAAGATGCTGGAAACTCCTCACCAGACCTGACATGAGACATTGGGAAAGATAGAGGGATCTGGACAGGCAGGTAAGGTAGGTGTGGCCCTGGAGGGCCAGGGTTAGTGCAGCCTGGGTGACCCTACTAGAGCTTTGTGGAAATGTGGTTGGGGGATTCAGGGTAAAGGGGCTGATTCCATGTTGGACAAAGTGGGGTGAGAGGCTGCCTCAGAGGAGGGGCCTCAGAAACTTAAGCCAGAATTCTTGCAGGAAGGTGACCTGCCACCACTGCCCCTTCATCCACAGTAAAGCAGTGTGTCTCCCAATCCTCAGAAGACAAGAGGGTCAGGCTGGCCAGTGATGAAGAGCAGGCAGGTCTGCGCTCCAGCATACCAGCCAACTCCTACCCACCCCCTCCACCTATGAATGGCCCTGAGGCTGCTTTGCCTTGGCTGGCAACAGGGTGGGCAGGAGGGGTTGATGTGGCTGGCCTGTCAGGGGAGTGGACACTGGGGTGCAGATGAGGAAGGTTGTCTATTATAAAGACAGCGTCCTTTCCCATCCCTACTTAACATTCTTCTAAAACTGTGCCTGGGCCCACCTCCCCCCTCTTTGAAGGGACAGATGTCGGGGAGAAAGCTGATTATTGTCAAAGGCTGGAGGCTGTGACCACAGTGCTCAGTGAGCATGACCCAATTCTGAGCTATTCTCAGCCTAGTGGGAGCCAAGTTATTCCCTCCCGCCGACAGTCCCGCCTCAGAAGCAGCCTGACTTTGAAACGCCCTCATCCTGGTGGCAGTTTTAGACAGTCTCAAAGCAGGCTGGCCCGCATAGACAGGGCGGGAGCAACCCCACAGTCCTGCTCGCAGATGACCCCTGTGCAGAGCCTCAGGGCCAGATGGGCCAGGTTGTGCTGGCTCTGAGGCCCAGGCCGCTGACTTCTGAGGCTACACTCCAGGGCTAGGGAAGGGCAGAAAGGTCCCTGATCCTTCACCCTCCCAGATCCCTGCCTGCCTGGGTGACCTGCAGCTCCCCCGCTCATTCCCCGTGTGCACTTCCCCAACCCCTGGTGACTAGAGGTCAGTCACGGGACACACTTCCACCAGAAACCAGCAGAGTATCCATGGGCACAAGGAGACCAAAGGCTTGAACAGAGCCCGTGCAGCTGCTGGGCCCTACTGCAACTGAGCTCGTGATGCAGTGTGTGTCCCGAGACTGGGATAGGCAGCCAACAGCAGCAAGCTAACATCAGCTCAGCTCTAGTGAGAAACCTGGCTGGCTGGGGCTGCCCAAGAGCAGATCTGACAGCTGTTCTCACCCATTTGGAGGTTACTTGTTACCCAGCATGTCTACCACACTGCTAATGAACACATTTACCTGGGAAGTTGTGGAAGTCAAGTGTCTAGCCCAGTCCACAAATAACCATGACTGAAGGCCTGACTTCCCAGTAAACTGCAAATCTCTGTGTTGGTCTTGATAAATTACTCCAATGTTCCAGAGGTGCAGAAGCCTCCAGTGCCTGGAGTGCAAAGGGCACTTCTCGGATGACCAGAGATGGAACCCAAATTCAGGCCTTAGATTATGAAGCAGACAGAAAAAGGTCTGGGCCAGGGTGATGGTCCAGTCCATAAAGTGTTTGTCCTGAACCTGATCCCTAGAGCCAATGTAAAAATGCTAAGGGTGGTGGCATGCTGCTAGAGAGGCAGGCGCCAGTGGATCCCTGGCTTGGTGGCCAGGCAGTCTAGCCTAATTGGAGAGTTCCAGGCCAATGAGATGTGGTCTCTAAGTAGGTAGATAGCCTTTTTGAGAATGACAAGCTGTTCTATTGCTGTTCTCTGGCCTCTACACCTGCACACACATGTACATATGCATACACACATGCACATGATTATAATCACATAAAATTTTAAGTTATTTAAAATTTTATTACATGTGCCATTGCGTGTGTGTGTGTCTCTCTAAGTCAGAGGACAACTTGCAGGAGTTGGGTCTCTCCTATCATGTGGATCCTAAGGATGGAACTCTGGTAGTCAGGCTTGGTGGCAAGCGTCTTTACCAGCTGAGCCATCTTGCCAGTCCCACATTCCCCCCCTCTTTTTTTTTTTTGGTGTTTTTGAGACATCGTTTCCCTGTAGTCCCAGCTGGTCTGGAACTTGCTATGCTGACCAGGCTGGTCTTCTGGAACTTGCTATACTTAACAGGCTGGTCTTGAGCTCAGAGATCCACCTGCCTCTGCCTCCCGAGAGCTGAGATTAAAGGCTTGGGCCACCATGCCCAGCACTTCTTTTTTTTTTTTTTTTTTTAAAGGAGGGCTTTTGCCTGGGCATGGTGGTGCACGCCTGTAGTCCCAGCACTTGGGAGGCAGAGGCAAGTGGATCTCTGTGAGTTCAAGGCCAGGCTGGTCTACATAGTGAGTTCCAGGGCAGCTGGGGCTACAGGGAGACCCTGTCTCAAAAACATCCAAAAAAAAAAAAAAAAGGAGGGCTTTTGGGGACAGCAGTAATCACAGCGGCATTTTGAGTTGCCTGTCCAACCACTGACATGACACACTCTCAGGCAGCCATGGAGCAATCACTGTCCCATCCCCACAGGGAGGTGACTCAGCACCAGCTTGAGCAAGCACCCAAAGCTGAGCACACCCCCAGCCTGTGCTCCAGCTTTCCCTGATGAGAACAGGGTGCTTCCTGGAGCCCTGCTGCTCAGGGGTTCAAGTCTGCGAACCTGAGCCCTCCTTCCTTGGGAGGTCTTCCCCACTCTCTGCTGCTCCCATCTCCCTCACTGTGCCTGGTTCCCAGAATACTTCAAGCTAGGTCAGCGACCCTGGACAGGTCCTCGAGCGCAGGGAGTCTGGTACACAAGATGAAACTCCCCACGGATGGGGAGGGACAGAGATGGGAGCACTCAGCAGTCACCTCCCAGGTGTTCCCTCTAGCAGCCTCAAAAGCCCAGACCTGGCTAGAGGCCCATCCCTAGGGACCCTCTCACCTACCCAACCTAGCTGGATCACCCTTGGCTGGCCTGCAGTCCATAGGGAATTTTCCAAACCAGTCTTTTTGGTCTCTGATGTACAAGGTCAGGACTGGACAGAGACCTGTTTCCCCTACCTGTGTGGCGTCTGCAGTGGTGGACAGGAGGTACTTCTCTTTGGTTGGAGTCCCCTAACAGTCTGCCTGCTCCTGGGATGCAGACCAGGTTGAGGATGGGGAAGACAGTTTAATGGCCAGAAGGACATAGTATCAAGGGCAGGTCCCAGAAGACCCAGATAAGCTGAGGGGCAGGGGAATCCCTGGTAAACACTCTTAATCCAGAGACCTATCACTGGTCCCCAGGGTCCTTGCTGGGGATGCCTCAAACACAGGTGGGGCATCATGAGGCTTGGGCACAACTCAATAGGTGGCTAGGAAGGGAACACACTCCCTTGGAAAAGGATGACTCTCCTGCCCACAGGACAGGATTCTGGCCCAGGAGCCTTCCAACAGGTGAGCTAGGGTCTACACCAAGGGACACATCCAGGGTCCCCAGGGACTGGTACTTGAAGTCAAGCTGCCTAGGAACTGGGCGTGCTGCTGCACCAGTCACAAGGTGGGCAGGTCCCAGTAGAAAAACTTTGGAAAAACTGAGGGCCAGAGGCCAGATGTCAGGCTAGGTTGGGAGTTTCTGGGATCTTGCCCCACAAGTCCCGAGCCTCTGAGTCAGGAGGTGACCACTGAGGATGTGCTGACCTGACTCACCAGCCATGGATTCAGAGCTGCCTCTTTTAAGTCAGGCTCAATCTGTAGGTCCAGGGGCCACATGGCTTCTCCTCTGCCCTGGGGGCTTCCATGCTGAGGCAACCCTGCAGAGGATCAGTGTGGGATGTGGGAAAGAGGATAGCTAGGCTGGATGCTTCTGCCTGGGAGGGGGCAGGTCTGGGAAAGCAATGGAAAGAGAACATTTGAGCAGAGCCTCGGATACAAAAAGATTCATGGGCAGCTCAGGGCCAGGTAGGGCTCCAGGCTAAGCTGGGCTGAGAAGTGGGCTGGGGTGCCCGTGGGTAGACTGGGCTTTCCTAATCTGGGTCATGTCCCCTCACCCAGGCTTTGGTGACTCCTGCAGAATAGCCTACCTCAGTGAGCCCCGCTGGGCAGACAGACATAGCCTGGGCCACGCTGGTCGTAAGGCCTGTGTGCTCTACAACTGCTGAGCAGAGATCCACCCCAAGGACACTCATCTCTAGGCTTTTACTTGTTGGCCAGGAGTTCATTCCCAAGGACTGAGAGCCCAGGCTGGGCAGGGCAGCAAGATGCCTCAAGAGTGCAGACACCTGCTTATAATCCTCTGAACTCCTATTTGAAGTTGGCCAGGGGACCCCTCTTCCATCCTCCAGCATAGGTATGAATTAAGAGGTTGGAGCAGGTCCTAGGGACCCTGAGCAGCTCTAAGGGGACACAGCTCCCCTCCTCCCCCCGCCCCCAGGCCATGGGAGTTTCATCCACAGGTGACCTGAAGTTGAATACTTCATAGGCAACAGGCAGCCTGGGATGCCACCCCATCAGGAAGGCCTAAGGACAGGGGAATGTGGGAAGGAACCCAGGGTACAAGCTACAAAGGGAGGCTTGGTGCCCTAAGTCATGCAGAGGCCCACTACCCCCAACTCCAGGGACAAGGAGCCCTTTCTGAAGTGGGTGGAGGTGGTCACACACTTATGTCTTTGTCTAGAATCCTGGAGCTTGGAGTTCCCATAGTGCCCACTCAGGAGAGAGAAAGGGGCAGGGGCTAGGAGATCACATGTGGGGCAGCAGGCCTGGACACCAGCTAAGGGGCAGCTCCTGAGACCAGTCAGCATAGTAGAGCAAAATGTTTATTGCTCCTTCAGGTACCGTGAGTGCCAACATGGGCAAACATTCGCAGGGGTTGGTTCCATGCACCAGCAGCAGCTGCAGGGCAGCCCCATGCCAGCACAACCTGGGCACTGGGCCTTCCTTGAAGTCAGCCACACATGAGGGCTGGACACCAGGCCCAAGGCTACGATGATACAGCTCCACAGCCAGGGCTTCTGACTCATGCACCTGTTCTAAGCCTCCAAGACGGGAAAGACTCATTAGCCTTCAGAGGTGATGAAGGTGCTGTCAATGGGGGGCACCTAGGATGCACCACCATCCTACCACCCCAGGGACCCACAAGGGGCAGGTTGCCCAAGGAGCTCTGGGCTTACATAGGCTGGAGACTGGAGTCCTGGCTCTGACATGGGCCCGACAGGGCAATGGAAGCATGCACCCATCCCATTAGCAGGGCTCCCTCTCCACAGGATGCTGCCTGCACGTCAGGAGCTCAGGGCACAGGGATGTTTCCACATGGCCTGTGAAGCACCAAGACTGTGGTTCACCTCCTCCAAGCCCTAGGCCAGCCTAGTCCCCCCACATCAGCCCTGAGAAAGGACAGAAGGGACAAGGGCAGGACCATGCTTTTTGGGTCAGGTCCACCACAGTTTCTGGCTAAGCCTTGGGCCACTAATGAGAGCGTGGACCAGGGATGGGACAGTCTACTGCCCCTCTGGGTCAGGGCAGGTCTCAGGCAGTGCCCAAAGCTTCTTCCATCCTCAATCTGCACCCACTGGCCTCAAACCTGGGAGAGGGTTTGCAATGAGACTTCATGTTGGCAACAAACAGCAGCCAGGACAGAGCTTGAGCTGGGCAGTGATCAGAGGATGGGACTACTCCCCTACTCCCAGGGACAGCCTCCTTATCCCCTTCAGTCACCCAGGAGGCCCCTGCCCCACCCTCTATCTATTCTAAACACAAGCTCCACAGGCAGCTGCTGACCATATACGGCAGTCTCTGGCCTCCCTGCCAGCCTGTGACACTCCTCCCCAAGGCCCTCTAGCCTGGGGTCTTGGTGGCGAATGTCAAGTAGCCAGTGTGGCCCACAGTCTCCTTCATGGGTGTACCGCTGCGGAAGGGGCTGGCATCAGAGCCCATGCTGGCCTCTAGGTCACTGGTCCCCAGGTCAGGCAGGGGCAGGCTGACGGTGCGAACATTGTAGACCTGGGGCAGCACCTCCAGGGTGCTCAGCTCTGTGAAGCCACAAGATGCCAGTGCCTGGCATGTGCGCTGGACCTGCTCAATGCAAGGAGAGAAGGAACAGAAGCGCCCACCTGCGGGAGCAGAATGTGGGGTTAGAGGGGGCAGGGCAGCAGGACCTCCACCCACCCTGGGACCGGAGGTTGGCCCAAGATTGTCTGCAGACTGTAAGCCGTCAGGCCAAGGGGCTGTGCAGAGACCTTGAGAAGCTCTGCCCTACCTGCTGGCCCACTTCGGGACAGGAGCCCAGGACCAAGCCCAAGATGCCCTGGCCGCCAGCAAGCATTGCCATCCTTGCCTTCTTGGAGGCAGAGCAGAGAGCTGGGGCCAGGGCTGCCAGGGCCAGGCCCAAGAATAGCTCTAAAAGGGCCACATGGAGTGGTGTGTGGGCTGCTGCTGTCATAGGAAATTAGAGGCTGTCACTGGCTCTTGGGGATAGGAGGAGCCTCTAGTGAGCATCAACTGAGCCCCTCCCTGCTGCCTCCCACTGGGCTAGCCCATGGGCTTCATTCAGCCTGTCCAGAGACAGCGAAAGTGTGCCCTGTCCCTATCTTAGCAGGGGGTCATAGACAAGTCATAGCAGGGAAGGAGTGTGCACAAATGTCCCTAGGCCTGGTCCCCACAGTGTTTCCTGACACAAGTCAGCTGGAAGGTCTAAGGTAGGAGGAGACACCTGAGGCCTGAGGCCAGTACAGAGAGCCCACTGTCACTAAAGAACTGAGCACAACACACACCTCCCTGCCAGAGGCCACTGAGATAGGTGGTCCTGGAATACACCAAACCCGTGAAAAAGCCAGGAGCCCAGAACAAGAAGACCTGGGGAGGGAACCTGGAGGAGGGAACCACAGGACATGGGAGGGACAAGAGATGGACAAGGATGCCTCTAGACCACTCAGGAAGAAGGCCCAAGGGGGATGCTGCCTGGCTTGGGCTGACCAACAACCCAGCAGCAGGGACCCTTCAGTGTATGGGGTGCAGGATGGGGAATGTCAGGGGCCATTGTGGACCCATAGGCTGTCCCCTCCCAGCCCCAGGTTATGTCAGCAGACACCAGGAACACAGAGGTCCAGGGCAGAGCCTGAGGCAGCAGGAGAGCCTAGGTTCCTGCCTGTCTCAGAGGCTCTCCCCGCCCTCCACACAGATCTGGGAGGGGAACAGCCTGGCTGCCAAGCCAGCTTCTTCTCCAGAAAAGGCAAAATCCCTGGGACTCACCAACCGCCTCTCTGGCTTGAGGCCCAACCTTCCAATGCTCCGCCTATGTACCCAGTATCTCCCTAAAAGGGTCCAGCTGCCTGGCTCTGCAGCATGGGCGTGGGGAGTCTGAGGAAACGGCTGGGGGCAGCAGACTGCCCATGCCCTCCATCTTGGATCCAGGCCTGCCCTGTCATGCAGATCCCGCCTGTACTTGGATGGAAGTGCCAGAGCCTGGGGCCTCAGTTGGTTCCCACTTCAGCTGTAGAGAAGGGCCCATCCTCCTCGACTTGCTTCCCAAGCCAGCCTGAGCTCACCTCCAGCCAAAAGGGGCCCTGGTCTGGCCATTGCCACTGCACCGCCTGAAAGCTTCTGGACCTCCCTGGGTTCCAGATGATCCAGAGCTAGGGTCCTGCCAAGGGGCTCAACCCCACCCCCTCAGTGTACCCCTACCAACCCCACTGACACACCTTCAACCTTGAGGGCATTCCAGGCATGGTCCACAGCTTCCCAGGGTGATGGGATGTCCAAGAAGACAGCGTCGGCCACATGGCTCACACCAAAGCCACTGCGGCACACATCCTGGGTGTGCACGGTCACCCACTGGCCCACCCGATGCTCCTGGAACTCCTCCCGGGCCTTGTCTGCCCGCTGCTGGTGGAACTCCACAGTGTGTAGGTGGCCCGTGGGGGCAATACTGCGAATGATTGCATGGGACACAGAACCACTACCGGTACCTGGCAGGACAAGGCAGGATAAAATCTGGGGGTCATTTGAGGACAACAGTTACTCAGAAAGCAGCCTCATCTTCACAAGGTCAGCTGGTCCACAGGTGGGCATCACCCCATTAGTCACGTCTGTTTTTGGCAGTCTCAGCCCCGAGTTTGGGTTGCTGGGGATGGGATACTAGGGCTGGGGTTTATGGGCCACATCTGCCACAGGTACAGACAAGAACAGGGTGGTCCCACCCAGTGCACAAATGGAACAAGTCTGCAGCATAGATTGAGTGGGGCTGACACAAGCTGAGTCCCAGCAGAGCTGACACTGGGTGTGTCCTATCCTCGGACCTGACATCTTCCACACTAGTGGCTGATCCCTGGGTCTTGTCAACAGCTGTCTACCTTGTTCTTTACACAAGCTCCTGACCCACCTGAGTCAGTTTAGTTTATTCCCCACCCCAATCATGCCAAATCCACCCTCACCTCATGTGGTACATAGCCAACCTGCTACTTGACCTCACCTCCCTTCCTACAGTATCACACATTTATCTCTGCCACAAGGCCTGCACTCCTTCCCAGCTTCAGGGCCACCCTTCACCTGACTTCATATCCTCAGGACCTGAGCTAGGCCTGAGTCCCTACTCATGCCCATGATTGCCCCTTCCACTGTTCCAAGTACCCCTAGTTGATGACCACTCCCAGCAATGTCTCCCTCCCAACCGCCACTGTAGCATCCAGTGCACTTACCACCTCCTCCTCAACACCCAAGGTGCAAAGCTGGACCCCATCCAATTCTAATCCACCTCAAGACCTAGGCAATGACACCCACTGTGGGGGCCAGATTGTGTAGTCACCCAACATCAACACCTACCCTGTCATCCCACCTCCAATTGCCAATGATTCCTGCTGTCAGCTTCCAAAGTCACCCAGGAGCCACCCTTCCCCCCACCTCCAGGCCTTCCCATTGGCTGCCCAAAGCCTCTGCCTCCTGTCCTGTCTGTTCAGCCAGCAGTCATCTTTCACCCTCAGTCAGATGCACCCTCTACACAGCAGCAGGGCTCACCCTCCCATTCAGGGGAGCGTCCAGACTTTGAGGGGCACCCCTGCTGCTGCCCAAGCTCCTGCACTGTTCCCTGGCCCTCACGCCCTGCTCCAGCCACACTGGCCTACTTGCTGACATACCAAGACAGCATGCACCAACTTCAGGGCGTCTGCACGGCTCCTTTGGCTTTTGGTAGTACTTCATCATTTTCAACTCAAACTTCCCCTCCTCACAGGTCTTCCCTGACTTCTCAAGTTTGGGGGACCCCTCTAAGTCATCCTCAAACATGCATCCTATCTTATAAGCTTCTCAATCAATAGTACAGAATGGTCACCAGGCTCACTGGCTATCCTGTCCTGTGAAGGGCAGAAACCTGGTACCACATAGGAGCACAGGAGAAGTGTGCTGACGGAGAGGGGCAAGGGCCTCACAGGAAGATGCCCTGGTGTACAGGGAGAGCAGTTAGAGCTGGCTCTGAATCTTCCTCTCCACTCTCCCTAACCCTAACCCTAACCCTAATCCTCCAGAGGGAGAGTATGAGCTGGGACTGGGAACTCTTTGTGAACCTGGACCCCAGCACCCTAGCCCACAGGGGACACATCAGGAATCTAGCCACTTCTGGGCCTGGGGTCATTCTCGGCAGAGCTGCATGCCTAGACTGCTGTGCCTGCGGCCCCAACATCTAAAGTGTGTATGTAAAAGGTAACAGTGATCTCTCAAGTACTTTACTCACCACCTGGTTCTGGCTTAGTGACAGTGGTGCTAATCTTCATTGGAGGCAGGTGAGGGCCTGGTCGTGCATAAATGTGGGGCAGAATTCTCACTACAATGAGATTTTGGGGTAATCGATCGGCCTCCCTCCAGGAAAGGACAGCTGGCCTGGGGATATCCAGTCAGCACCTTGGCCAGCACCCCAACAAGACAGGTCCAAGACCTCATGGGGCACTACCACTTCCTTCTTAAACTCAGGTCAGTCCCCACCATCTGTCGTTCCAATGACACCAGCTGGTGAGTTCCCCTGCTTCTGTCCTCACTCCCTGCAGACAATCCCCACCCCCATGGTGGATCTGTTATAACAGAAACTGAGCAGCCCAGCACAGAACTTCAAGAAGGGTTGTCTGCAAGCTGTCTGAATGTAGGGTCTTATTTCCACCTTCATGAAGGTTCTCAACGCCGAAGGCGCTGCAGGCAACTCACCTGATTCACAGACCACAGAACCGGGCCGCAGCTCCAGCATCATGGTGATCAGGGCGATGTCGGTAGAGTAGAGGATCTGTGTGCGGTGGGGTAGGTTCACTGTCCAGAGCTCGGGAGTGGGGTGCAGCACATACACCCAGCCGCCTCTGCTGCAGATCACCTTGGAGCCAAAGGGGCGGCCGATGAGGTCGACCGAGTGTCGCAGGACGCCATGCCGGGTCTGAGTCTGTGCCCCACGCTGCACACGCACTGCCACCATCGAACCATGACCCAGGGACAGGATGGCTGTGTCACCCTCCTTGATCAGCTCCTCGTATGCCACGAAGCTCATGGTGCTAATAAAGTCTGCCAAGTGCTAGGGACCTGGGGAGAGGCGTATGCGCATGAGGTCAGGAGACCAAGGAACAGGATGGGGATTTGGGTTAGATGGGGTCTGGGTGTATAGGGCCCAGATTCTGAGCAGTGAAGGTAGGGGCAGCTGGGTAGCCCAGTCCCTGGGGGCAACCCAACAGGGCTGCATGTGGAGCGTGACGTCCGAAGCCCTTCGTGGTCTGGGAGGAGACATGAGCGCGCGCTCAGTGGCAAGAGGCCCAGAAACAGCTATGGCGAGGCGTTCACCGGCAGGGCGCGAAGTCCCCTCCAAGCCAGGACTCAGCAGAACCCCTTCCCCAGCACCCCCACGGCGGGCTCCAAGCGGCAGGGGACGCGCGCGGGAACGAAGCAACCCCACGTGGATTCTCACCCGCCGCGCGCCGGACCCAGGTCCACACGTGGCTCGGCGGCGCTCGCCACACTTCCGGCGCGCGTTGATGACGCACGCGCGCGGGGGATGCTGGGAGTGGCCTCCCTGCCCTTCTCTGGCTCCTAGAGGACGCGCCTGTGGTCCTTTGTGCATTCTTGTGCGTTGCCTAAGAGATCCGAGGACTGTGCAAAATAAAAGTCCCTCCCGCTAGCCGCTTCGCCGCGCGCGGCCTACCTCCCCAGGCCCACCAGGCTTGGTCATTGCACACGGCTCGGGAACACCCTGCCTGGGCCCCAGGATGAATCCCAGAAAGTGGAACCGCAGGGCCGAGGGGGCCCCCAAAGGCTCTGGCCAGGGTCAGGCCGAGTGCAGGGAGGGAGGGTAATCCGAAGGACTATGCAAAAGTGGCCCCGAGCCCGGCTCTGTCTCCCCTGCAGACGCACATTTCCCGAGTGCAAGGTTTCTCCAAGCAGGGGAAGGGGTCTAGAGTTCCCCTCTGGGATCCCAGGCATCGTGAGAACTGGGCTCACAGGAGGGCATGGGGGAGGGGCCGGTGAAGACGGAAAAGGGAAGCGGGAGTGCTGTTCTGTCTCCCGCAGGGCTGATCCCGAGCTGGGTGGAGTGGGGCGGAAAGGGAAGGGGGAATATGAGCGGTGAGTGTGTCTGGAGGATCTGTAGCCCTCTGCTCAGAACTGGAGGGGATGGAGACTTGAGCCTGTTCAGAACCAGGCAGTGACCAACTCCAGGCCGCACTTCCCAGCTACCAAGCTCCTGTGGCTTTGCGAACCGGAGATGGCTGGGCCGCACAAGCCTGCCCCTTCCCAGAGCACTGTGGGCCTCCTCTGGAGCCAGCCTAGGCCAGCATGCGGGGGTCCTTGTTTTGGAAAGCAAGGTGACTGACCGCAGACCTCTTTAGATCTCTGTCCTGGCCAGCATGTATCTGATGGCCCGGGAGGGTAGATGGTGAGGGGCTTCTGCGGCTTCCCGCGGCTGTGGGTTTACAGCTTTTATCCTTGAGGCATCCGAAGTGCATCCCTGGTTCCACAACCCTGGTTCCAGTAGGCTACTTCACTCCCTTGATGGTGCACAGCTCGCATCACATCTTAATTGCCCCCCTCAGGACTTAAAGACTTTCCACTTCTCCTGAGGGTGCCTCTTCCCCAGACTCTCAGGTGCATGGAGACCAGGCTGACCTGGTTCCAAGTCTGTGAGCTCAGCAGGGGGTTCCCCTTGGTCCCAGCTGCCCACTACAGCCCCTCCTGTGCCCCTCTCCAGTCCATCTTCTCACAGATGCCTATTTGCCTTGCCTAGCCTCAGCCTGGAATCTTCAAGCAGAACCAGTGTCCCCCAGACCCCAGCTGGAGGGCGGATGGGAAGTTTATGCACTGGGTTCTCCTAACAACTGACAGCCACATGTGCCTAGCTAAGTGTCAAGGCATTGAATCCTCCCCACAGTCTTAGAGTGGGGGACCACTTTATAGATAGAGAAACAGAAAAGTTAGGTTCATGTAGGGCTGGAGAGATGGCTCAGTGGTTAAGAGCACTGACTGCTCTTGCAGAAGACCCAGGTTCATTTCCCAGAACCCACTTGGCGGTTAACAACCATCTGTAACTCCAGTTCCAGGGATCTGATGCCGCCTTCTGACCTCCTCTGGCATTGCCCAACATGGGTACACTTAACACACAGGCAGGCAATATACTCATACACATAAAAATAAATAAATAAATAAATAAAAGTTTCATTTGACTAACATCATACAGACAACACAGTCAAGAGGGACTGTCATTCAAAGTCTGACTTCAGAGAACCAATGGCCTATTTGGAGTAGAAGGGGAAAGAGACCCTGGAGAAAAGGACAAGCTGAGGATGCCACTGGGGGAGGCTGCTCCGCCTGCATCCTTGGCAGGGCCTGGCCTGCCAAGAGTCCTCCCTGACTGGCACGGCCTCCTGATATACTTTGCTCTGCAGCCCCAAGGCAGCTCCTGCCCCTCTTCTCACCCCTGCCAACTTCCCCTTTGCATTCCACAGAGCAAGGGGGCAAGAAGGAAGCATAGGCAGAGCTGGAGCTTGGCCCTGGCCCTGGCTGTGCCTGCACTTGCCCTGCTGGGCTAGGCCATGCTCTGCAGATAAAAGACCTAGGACTCCTTTGAGGCCCCTTCCAGGCCCCAGTGGTTAATGTGTGACCAGGTGTGATTGCTAAGGAACCTGGACGATAAACCTGCTGGGTGATGTCACCAGCTTCTTGCTCAGAAGCTGCCAAACCAGCTAACATGGACCTCAAGGACAGTAGGAGGTCCACAATCAGGGCTCAGCTGGGTCAACAGTCCCTCCCTCATCTTGCCTCCTGGTTCTGAGGGCCACCAGGAATTCCAAGCAACTCCTGTTGGTGGGGTCTCACATCGATTGACATTATGGTCTGAAGGCTGTGAGGGCCCTTCTCACCCCCCTCCCCTGCTGCCACCCCCACTACAGCTGTCTAGCCACTCTGTGAGCCTGCACAGTGTCCCAAGGACAGGCACCCTGGGATCACTGGGGGATATCTGGACCTCTGAGCCACACTTCTCTCTCCTCCTTGGTTATCTGCAGAGGCTGAGGGTCACAGGAGGCCCCAGGTTGGAGCCTGTGCCAGTGCTGGGTGTGGTTCACTGCTGGAGTGGGCAGCCCTGTTGGCCTGCCCTCTGTACCTCACCTTCCTGTGTGGGGAGGGAAGATGATAGGATTGAGGAGTTTCAAATGCTGGGGACAAAGAGGAAGCACTGATCCCCCTCTACACTGCACACCAGCCTAGACACCAAGCTTGCTTCCTCTCCATTCCTGCAAATAGAAACTTGAGCACTTGGGGCCTTTGGGGGTAGGGGGTGGGGTAGGCATCTGCAGATAATTTCTGAGATGGGGGCAGGGGGGCACAGAGTGCAGGAATTCCAGGCTTAGGGACACCTGCTGTCTAGCCAGTGGATGGGCCATGTGTTTTGTTGTTGGGTATTTTTTTGTGGGTTTTTGTTTTTTGTTTTTTGGTTTTTTTTTTTTTGGTCTTTTTGAGACACGGTCTCCCTGTAGCCCCAGGTGTCCTGGAACTCACTATGTAGACCAGGCTGGCCTTGAACTCACAGAGGTCTGACTGCCTCTGCTTCCCGAGTGCTGGGATTAAAAACCCAGCTACTTGTGGGGTTTTTTTGGAGACAGGGTCTTCTTGTAGCCCCAGCTGGCCTGGAACTATGTAGACCAGACTGACCTTGATCTCAGAGAGATCTGCCTGCCTCTGCCTTGAGTCCTGGGATTAAAAGCATGCACCACCATTCTTGGCTCCTGTAAGTTTTATTTGTTTTTGATATAGTATCTAATGTAGCCCAGGCTGACCTTGAACTCCTGACCTTCCTGCCCCCACCTCCCAAATGCTGGAGTAATAGGTGTGTGCCTCCATGCCATTGCACAACTCCTTGTGCCTTCTTATGTGGGGTTGTTTTATTGGTCTATAAAGTACTGAGCTCATGCCTATAATCCCAGCACTTGAGAGGCTGAGGCAGGAGGAGCCTGGGTTACATAGAGAGATCTTTTCTCAAAAAAGAACAAGTTGAAGCTGGCTGACGCAGCAAGAGAACAGGTGTAGTCTCTGCAGCAGCCCTGGACAGGACCTTGGTGGTTTACAGCCTTCTACGCGAGGCGGGCAAGCATCCTGCCCATGGTTCCTTGCTCCAGTGTCTTCTGAGGCACCTGGCTAGTGTCTCTGAAGCCTGGATCCCTGTCCCCCGTCATGCCCCCACCCCAGTCACTTGCTCAGAGTACTGCTCCAGCAGAAGCTTTTTTTCACCTTTGCCGCTCTCCCCTCCAGTGTTACCAGCACCTGGCAGGGGCTCCTGGTGCGATGACTGGAGGGATTTTGTAAATATACAGAAATTCTCTCAGCTGGGCGTGGTTGATGGCACACGCCTTTAATCCCAGTACTCGGTAGGCAGAGGCAGGCAGAACTCTGTGAATTCAGCCTGGTCTACATATTGAGTTCCAGGAGAGCTGGTGCTACAGGGAGACCCTGTCTCAAAAAGACCAAAAAAGAAAAAAAAATTCTCTTTTTGCTTTATTAGCACAGCAGTGAGGGGCTGTGAGTGACATTAACCAAACAAGCCCACCTCTATAGGAACTGTATCATCCAGGACATTCTGCAGGCTTTTTGACCCATGGTTAGTGTTCCCCGACCCCAGCGATGAGCATCAGGTCCAATCTGAATGTGTTTGCTATCCCCACTACTACACATTCCTTGATCTGCTGCTTTTTTTAATTTAAATTTATTTTGAGGCAGGGTCTTCCCGCAGCCCCAGCTGGCCTGGAACTCACAGAGATCTGCCTGCCTCTACCTGAGAGCTGGGATTAAAAGCAAGTGCCTGCCCCCTTCTGCTGTCCTTTCTATAGGTTGGATTCCTAGAAGGGGGTTGCTGGGTCATGGAGTTTGAACATTTTTAATTTTAAGAAATACTGCCAAATTACTTTCAAAAAAAAAAAAAAAAAGGATAAATAAAAGTGGTACCCCAGAAGAGGGGGGTTGTGGGGGATGGAGTTTTGAAAATTTTTAATTTAAAAAAAAACTGCAAAATAAATTTAAAAAAAAAAAAAAAAAAAAGGATGAATCGACTGGCAGCTGCACTCAGGGTGTGAATGCCTGTCTCCACACACTCCAACTCACAGCTGGTTCTGGTTGGGGTCAGTCTTCTATATTTCCCCAGACCTGGGTGTGTGAGGCAGGGAGAGAGACAACGGTTCAATATGCTGATTCTGATTAGTGAGGGGATTCTTAGAAACCTCACATAACTTTCCTTTTAACGGGTGCTTCTTCCCATCTTTGCCTGATGACTTCGGGTACTGACTTTGGGGGTAAGGCGGTAGGAGCCAGTGTCCTGAGGAGAGGGCCTGAGGGTGGGAGTTTGGGAATTCCGCATCTTCTCAGGGCGCAGTGTCTTCTGCCTTTCAGTGGAAGCTGGGCCTAAGGGTCTCGGCTGGGTTCCCGAGAGCTCGCCCAAGGTCAGGGCACCCTGGGCGCTGCGGGGCTGGACTGCAGCCAGACTGCGCCTCTGGTGCTGCACCAGGAACACCCAGGAGACGCCCGCAGGCACCTTGAGGAAGGTCAGCAGCTCTTTGCCAGTTCGGCTGGCGGGGATGGAGTGGACGAACCTAAGCAGAAATCTCCCTCCAGGTCCCCTGGCCACCGCCGTCTGTAGGAAGCGAGGAAGACAGAAGCCGGGTGTTCCCAGGTGCCAGCTGACTTTCCAGCCTCAGTTTCCCGCCGGAGGCAGGGTGTATGAGGCGGGTCTAGGAATCTAAGGACTGGAGGTTCAGATCGCCTTCCGAACCCTGGGCGAGCGCCGCGCGGGGTGGCTCGGCTGCGCGGGGTCCAGACTCCGGGACGGCTGGGGGTGGGCGGGCTGGGGGGTGTCGGGGGCTGCTGCCGGAGGACAAAGCGGCGGCACCACCCCAAAACGCTGGCCAATGGAATGAATGGGCTATAAATAGCCGCCAATGGGCGGCCCGCGACGCGCCCCTTAAGAGCCCCTGGAGCGGCGAGCTGCTGCTGTTCTGCGCTGCGCCCGGAGCTGCCAAAGGACCCAGCGCCCCCGTCGCGCCCGGCCTCCCGGTGAGCGGACCTCAGGGCTGGGGGCGGCCGCTGGGGCGCGGGGCGGGGGTTCGGGATGCAAGGCCGCAGCGTCACGCGTGGGCGCGCAGCCCGGAGCGCGCAGCGCCGGGGACCCGCCAGGGCTCCCATGCACCGGCGCTGGGGACCCCGTGACCTTGGCAGCGTCCCCAGGGCCCTGGCGGGTCTCCGGAGGCGGGTGCACCGGGCCCTGCTGACCCTGCGCCTCCCCGCAGCCCGCCGCCGCCGCCATGCCCTTCTCCAACAGCCACAATACACTGAAGCTGCGCTTCCCGGCGGAGGACGAGTTCCCCGACCTGAGCAGCCACAACAACCACATGGCCAAGGTGCTGACCCCCGAGCTGTATGCCGAGCTGAGAGCCAGGTGCACCCCGAGTGGCTTCACGTTGGACGACGCCATCCAGACCGGCGTAGACAACCCGGGTATGCACAGCCCACTGAGGTCAGGGCCCCACCCTACAAGAACCCACGGGGCGGGGGTCCCGCCGCCCCTCCCTCAGCCCCCCCGGCCTGGGGTCGCCCCCGGCCCCTTCCCGCGCTTGGCTGCAGGGGCCTCAGCAGCTCTCTCCAGCCTGGCGGTGACGTCACTGTCCCCGGCGCCCCTCCCCCAGGGCATCCGTACATCTTGACCGTGGGCGCCGTGGCGGGCGACGAGGAGTCCTACGACGTGTTCAAGGAGCTCTTCGACCCCATCATCGAGGACCGGCACGGCGGCTACCAGCCCAGCGATGAGCACAAGACGGATCTGAACCCAGACAACCTGCAGGTGAGGGGCGGCGGCCGGGTCCGGGTGGCTGAGGGAGGGGGGTCTCTCGGTGCTCCCTCGCACCGGTATCTTGCTGCCCATCCCCAGGGTGGCGATGACCTGGACCCCAACTACGTGCTGAGCTCGCGGGTGCGCACTGGCCGCAGCATCCGCGGCTTCTGTCTCCCCCCGCACTGCAGTCGCGGGGAGCGCCGCGCCATCGAGAAGCTGGCGGTGGAAGGTAAGGGTCGGGGCAGTCCCGGGCACCCCGTCCTTGTCCCGGTCCTCACCCGGGGCCTGTTTACCAGCCACCCGAGCTGCTGCGCTCTTATATGCGCGCGCGCCAGGGTCCAGTTTCCCCAAGGGACCCAGGGACGCTGGCCCACCTCAGCGCACCGAGAGGCCCTGCGTGCACGGAGGGCTAGTCCTGGCCCGGGTCACCGTCTGGGACCACGGCACGGTCTGCGGGGACCCGGCGTTGGGGGCTCTGGCACCTCCACAGGGGCCCCGAGGGGGCTGCCGGGGGTGGGCGTCGCGGGGCCCACCTTGATTGCTGCGCTCCGCAGCTCTGGCCAGCCTGGATGGAGACCTGGCGGGCAGGTACTACGCCCTCAAGAGCATGACCGAGGCGGAGCAGCAGCAGCTCATCGACGACCATTTCCTCTTCGACAAGCCCGTGTCGCCGCTACTGCTGGCCTCGGGTATGGCCCGCGACTGGCCCGACGCGCGCGGCATCTGGTACGTGGCCTCTCGGGGGGGGGGGAGTCCTCCCAGCGGAGTCCTCCCAGCTCAGCCCCGGGAAGGTGGGGCCCACTGGGCGGAGGAGGAAGAAGGAGGGGCTCGGGATCGGAGTCTCAACCCTCAGCTCAGGTGACCTTAGGCGCAGGGAGCGGGCGGGGGGGGGGGCACATGCTGCGGGAGGCCGCGGTCTCCCGGGATCTCTGGGGTGGAAACGGGTCTGCTTGACGTTTGTCCTCCGCCCTCCTCTTGGGAGCCGGCTTCTTGTTTTCTCTCCTTTTCACCCTCTTCCCCCGCCGGGATTCTGCCAGGTGCCAGTGACGGAAAAGCCTCCACACCAGTCGGGGCAGGGCTCCTACCCCTGTGGTCTGTGCAGAGCTCCGCCCTTGGTGGGCTGCTCTGGCTGTACCAACCCTTGCCTACCACGCAGCTCCTGCCTGGAGATTGGGGTGCATGTAAGGTACACCCGGGGCTGGAGTCCTGGTGCCAGCCCACTCCAGCATAACGCTCCAGGGCCTTTAGTGCGAGGTCACCTATAGCGTCTTCCTGGATGGTCCTAAAACCACACTCTGGGAGGACCTTTGGCTTGACTGTGCCCCTCTCCCAGGCACAATGACAATAAGACCTTCTTGGTGTGGATCAACGAGGAGGACCATCTGCGTGTCATCTCCATGCAGAAGGGAGGCAACATGAAGGAGGTGTTCACCCGCTTCTGCACTGGCCTCACCCAGGTCAGGCCTGGTGCCCACAACCTGGGCCTGCTCCCTGGGGCCTCAGCGCCAGGGCCAGGTCAAGGGGTAGCCCCCAGAACCCACATCTCCCCCGGGTGCCTGTCTGCCCTTCCCACTTGGGACTCCCAGACAGGCCTCTCCCTTCTGACTCCCTTCTCCCCCTCCAGATCGAAACTCTCTTCAAGTCTAAGAACTACGAGTTCATGTGGAACCCTCACCTGGGCTACATCCTCACCTGCCCATCCAACCTGGGCACTGGGCTTCGGGCAGGTGTGCACATCAAGCTGCCCCATCTGGGCAAGCACGACAAGTTCCCTGAGGTGCTCAAAAGGCTTCGGCTTCAGAAGCGAGGCACAGGTGAGGGGCAGGCAGCCCAGGTGGGAGGCAGAAGCTACAGGTTTCCTCTGCCCTGCTGACCTGGCCGGCTCCCCATCCCCAGGTGGTGTGGACACAGCCGCTGTGGGCGGGGTCTTTGACGTCTCCAATGCTGACCGCCTGGGCTTCTCCGAGGTGGAGCTGGTGCAGATGGTGGTGGACGGGGTGAAGCTGCTCATTGAGATGGAGCAGCGGCTTGAGCAGGGCCAGGCCATCGATGACCTCATGCCTGCCCAGAAGTGAAGCCTGGCCTTTGCCACCACCAGCCTGCTACTTCCTAACTTATTGCCCGGGCAGTGCCCGCCATGCATCCCTGATGTTTGCTGCCTGGTGGCTAAGCCCTTAGCCTCGCTGTAGAGACTTCTGTCATCCTGGGTAGAGTTTATTTTTTTGATGGCTAAGCTGTTGCTGATACTGAAATAAACTAGGGTTTGGCCTGCCCTGTGTCTCTGAATGATGCCTCCCCTTTCCTAGGGACAGTGGTGGGTGGGTGTGTCTTAAGGCCTGGTGATCTGTGCCAGGTCACCTAGATGGGACATTAGCCAAGGGACTCTGCTACCCCTGCTCAATCCATCTGTAGAAGAGGCATGGGGGAGAGGGAGGGAGGAGCTCCAAGGCTCTGAGGCCCAGCCTGAGCATCTAAGGATATTTGGACCTACAGGGTGTAGCCTTGTATGGATGGGAGGGGAAGGCAGAAACTTGATTCTGTTCCAGTTCCTTCCATCTTCCTGGCAACCTGAAGAGGCAAGGATCCATCTCCCAGCCTCCCCTCTGGTCCCTCCCTTTTCCAACACCTACTTCAGCTCTGAAATAAATCTTTCTCCTTTCTTCCTCCTGGCTGCCATCCTCAGGCTGCGCCAACCCCCTCCTGTTCCCTAGGCCCAACCCTTTAGCCCCTTCTAGGCAGCAGCAGGGTTCAGTCTTGTCCCCTCATTCACAGCTTCCTCTCCAGAGTCCTGGTGTGTGTGGAGGGGAGGTGTTGGGCAACCTCTCTCCTTCCCTTTACTATCTGGCTGCTATGTCACCTCATCTGGAAGACAGAACAGCAGTCAGGGGGACTCTCTGTTGTTCCCGCCCTGTCCTTCCCAAAGAAGGGACAAGAGGGAGAAGGAGGGAGGAGCCCCCAAGGTTTTGAGCCCTAGCCCCACATCAGGGACCCTGGGAGAAATGGTGGGCTGTCTAAAGAGCCATTTTCCTGGTCTTGGCTCTGGTGGCCTACCCTGCTTGGGCCCCATGAGGGGATTTGCCAAGGTCTGAGAGCTGAGGCAGGACCTGGTCAGCCAGGGGCTGGGACTTTAGTTCCTCATCCCCAACAGTGCTTCCTAGGAGAAGACAGTCTACGCTGCCACCTACTGGCCAGGTTCTCCCTCCACCCCCACTGCCCCAAGGCCCACTGCTTGCTTGCCCACTGAAGATTGTGGTGGCACACGCCTTTAATTCCAGCACTTGGAAGGCAGATGCAGGTGGATCTCTGAGTTCAAGGCCAGCCTGGTCTACATAGTGAGTTCCAGGCCAGCTGGGGATACAGGGAGATTCTGTCTCAAAAGACAACATATATATGTTATCTCCTATGGAACCAGTAGGTCAGGAGGCAGCAGTGGGTTGTGAACTACATAGGTACTTTCTGGCATCTGCTTCAACAACCAGACTATACCAGGTGGTGTCCATGCTCAGAATGCCCCACCTAGTACAGCACTTGGAACACTTAGTGTCAGAATTAGAGGAGCAGCCACCTCACTGGGTGGGTTGAGCATAGGAGGGACAGGGATCTCTGCATTCCTCCTTTGTAAGCTGGGATGGTATTCACTCTGCTCCTTCTGGTCAGCTCCTAGCCAGCCCTTTGGTCAGGAAGGCCTGGAGCCCAGATCAAGTTAGGATGCTTGCTGACACCTTTCCCTCAGCTTTGGTGTCCTCAGGCCACCAGGGCTGGGCCAACCTCAATGCAGACTTCAGTGTGGGAAAAACGGTGATAAGCAGCAGCCCTTAGTGCCACTCCATGAACACAGGAAGTGAGGCATAACAAGATGGAGGGCTTAGTCAGCTATGCCTCCCAACAAGGGAGGATGGCAGGCACAGTGAGGCATAGCTGACCAGCGCCTCCAACTTGTTATGCCTCACAAAGTTCTGACACAGTGACTGGCACTGTCAGAAGGATGAGGGGTTGAGGACACAGTTCCCCTGCAATGAGAGGGCTTGCTGGCCTACCTTCCTGTAATCTTTTTCTGACCACGAGCTCTCCAAGTTCTGCTGGCTAAGGGCCCTTACAGGGGCAGGGCCAGCTAACCTGAGTGTTGCTTGAGTAAAACAGACCCCACCCCATTGAAGTGTGCACAGCACAGAGGTCTGGGCAGTCTTCTGATGGTGTTCCAACACTGTCCCAAGAGCTGCAGCTTGAAATCCCACCTCACATATGTAGGCCTTGGCACACTGGAAGACACCCCCAATAGCAGGGCCTGGTCTGGGAAGATCTCTTTTCCAGTCAATGAGGCTCATGAGTGGCCTGGGCTAGCCACTCAGGCACAAGCTGACTCTTCCTTGTTCACCAGCTGAGTAAGGCCTGCTAAGGGGGCTGGAGAGGGTGACCCGGGCATCTTGCTCCAAGACACTTTGGTCAGGAGCTACTTCTAGGGCTGAGCTGGGCCACAGGTTACTTCCTGGCATCTTTGCTTAGAATCTCAGACCCGAAAGACTCTCTTGGGCCCTGGGGTTTTCAACTCCAGTTCTCCCAGCAGGCCAGAACTTAGTTGCTTGCTGCTTTTCCCTCCATATTTACTGTGTTGCATGTGTCACTACAAGCTGCGCTGAAGTCTGGGGTGAGGCAGGGCTTGTACACATGCCACTGACTGAGAGGCCTGTTCTACTCCCAGTCCTTATCATCACCACACTGTTGAGTTTGCCTTCAAACCACTGTGGAACATGGGCATCTAAGCACCTGCCCTACTGTGACAAATCTGGGGGTGGAAGCAGGGAGGAAGGCACTGTGCTCACCGGGAGCCTGGGTGGAGGCAACATTTCCCTGGGGCAGTTAGGCCTCACTGAGCACCAGGTACAGTGTGCATACCTGGGAACACCCTGACTTCTGGCCAGGAACAACCTGCAGGATTTCAAGTCAGAGCCACCAACACTGCTAAGCGGTGGGGTGGGTGCTCTGTGCGCTGAGGGACCTTTGGTGGTATCCCTGACCTCCAAACCCCAATGGTGGTAAGATTCCCCAGCCTTACCTTGACAACAGCAGGAGCATTTTTAGACTCTGACATAGAAGGACCACCGCCCTTCAGAAATAATTAAGGGATACAATTATTTAGAACAGGAAAGAACTGGTCAGGACTGTTTGCCAATAATAAAAGCTTGCAGGGCAAACTTCACACTGGCATGGCAGTGCCATGAAGACAGGCTGAGAAGCAAATGCAGGTTATAAAACAGCTCGTACCAAGATCCCACACGGAATATGTATGGAAAAAAACCCCGAACAGTCGCCGGTGGTGGGTGGTGGGGTAGCAGGTGATTTCCCTCTTTATACTTTATACTTCACTTTCCAAATTTCCTCCAGTGAACTTGTATTACTTATATAAGGCAATGTTTTTCTTGCATCTTGAGGACTGAACTCAGGGCTTTGCACATGTGAGGTAAGTGCTCTACCTCTGAGCCAAGCTTCATCCCCTGTGTAGCTGAGGATCACCTTGAGCTTTTGATCCTTCTGCCTCCACCTACTGAGTGCTGAGATTATAGGCATATACTACCACATCTGGTTTATATGGTGCTGGGGCTCGAACCCAGGGCTCTGTACATGGCAGGCAAGTACTCTGCCACTGAACTATATAATACCAGCCCTATCCTGACAAAATTTTAATGTTTTTCTTTTCTTTCTTAGTTTCTTTCTTTTTTTAGATTTTAATGTGTCACAGCTGGTGGGAGTCCATCAAGGCAGGCGCTGGAATTCACTGCCGCCCTCCCACCCTACCCTGGGCTCTGGATCAAGTGGAGCCACTAGGATCCCAGAGACTCAGTTTTGCTGTTCTTTGACTTTTAAGACAGTCCAGACTCCTCATGGGTGGGACCTGCTTCTCCAAAGAGCAGCTTAGAAGGCTGCAATTGCTGGGTCCGCTCCTTACACTGCACTTCTATTTTTGATCCAGTCTGGTACTTAACAAGCCTCCCAGATGCCCTGAGGCGGCTTCACACTGTACTCAACAGGGTTAACATCTTTTTCTCCAGCAAAAAGGAAACTTGATGTCAAGAAGTCATCCTCCGACCGTGAGGCTCCCAGAGCCTGTGGGCTGGGACCCAAGGCTGGCCATCTGCATCAGGTCCTTTTCAATTTCCCACTTTCCTGGCTTTGCTTTGCCTGGGGCTCAGAAGTCCTGACTTCTACACTTTCTCAGGACTAGAGACTGTTCCTTTCTAAAAACTATAAACAGTAACCTTTAATCCTAGTACTTGGGGAGGCAGAGGAAGATGGGTTTCTGTGAATTCCAGGCCAGCCAGATCTACACAATGAGACCCTGTCTCAAAAGATAAATAAAAACAAAACAGCTGGGCATGGTGGCACACGCCTTTAATCCCAGCACTCAGGAGGCAGAGGCAGGCAGATGGATTGATGTGAGTTCAAGGCCAGCCTGGTCTACATAGTGAGTTCCAGGACAGCTGGGGCTACAGGGAGACCCTGTCTCAAAAAAGACCAAACAAACAAACAAACCCAAAACGAACAAACAAAAACCCCCCAAAACATTCCTGAATAGTAAGATCCTGAAAGATACAAGCATGTTTGCCAGGTGCTGCCTCTGGCCAATATTTATGGTTTACTGATGGCTGGCAGTCCCCTGGTGGCCACCCTGCTTTAGCCACAAAGCCTTGGTGCACAGCTTGGTCTGCATTCCCATAATTCTTTGCAGCTGGGTGTGACCAGGTGATAAAATGGACCACTCAAGCAGCCAGCTTGGGATCTGAGGACAGGGTCATCCTGCAAGTGCAGGGTGGGGGACTCCTGTTCGTTCGTGCCACCTAGTGTGAACTTGTATAATGCCTACTCCTGGCCAGGGACCAACTGGAGCAGGGCAGGCTCTGGGTCTGTGGGGCTGGAATGTAGGTGGAATGAAGGTCAGCCTGGGTCTGGGTGGCCCCTGGGTCTATCCACATAGGATGATTCACCAGGTTGACCCAAAGGTAACATACCAACAGCCCTAGGCTCTGTTCTGTCGGTGGCTTTGTGTTTAGTTCAGGTAAGGGCTCTCTCTGCTTCCCATATTCTACCATGCCGGCAAAGGTGGCCCTGCCTTATGGTTTCCTCATGCAGACCAGGAACTGTTCACTCTGGCTTGACTGGGACCATCTGTGCTGCTGCCTCAGTGGCACGGTGGTGGAGGAGCAGGAGGGTACCCAAGGCCTCTCCTCTGCCTTCTTGGAGACAGAAAGGAGGATCCAGGCTGCTGCTTTCTTCTGGCCTCCAGTCAAGGC